ATGAAATGCAGACGTTGTTGTGGCTCGATTTGCCCTGCGGGTCGAGAAAAACAAGTTAGGAACTACTTTGAATTTATTTGTAATTACTGGAATGTGGTTGGATTGTTTTCCAAGACGCAAGGGAACCCTAACGTTTATTTATCCCATGCATTAAGAACATCCATAACATTCATCTGTTTGCAACTTATACATATCAATATTCCAATTACTTGTATATAGACTATTCTGCACTATTTATATTATATTCTATTTTATTTGATTTACTTGCACTATTTTATCTGTTTTATTGTGTTGCGCTGTTGGAGGAGCCTGTGACCTTACGATTGTCATAACTACACTGTAGCTATGACAATAAAAGCCTTGAATCTTGAACTGTGCAGGCGATACTTTAAAAATGCTTCTTTTGGCTCACCCTCTCGTGCAGAAACACCAGCGCCTGCAGGAGGTCGTAGATGCCGGCGCAGACCTCCTCCGGCGACAGGCTGTCCAGCAGCAGCTCCAGCGGCTGCACCCGCTCCGTCACCAGGTGGATGCCCCCCCCGTCCTGCACCGAGCACGACAGGAAGCGCAGCAGACACGGGTGCCTCAAGGTCTTCAGGTGCTGCAGGAAATTAAAAGTATTTATTTTCTTCCTGTAAAAAGTGAGAGCCATGCAGCTGAAGGGAAAATCCAAGAGTAGGAAGTGATTAGGCCGCCTGAGAGCACAAACCACTACTTAGCAATTAAAATAAGAACGACTGCAGTGCTGGCAAATGATTAATTTGGTGGTAATTGTTTCATGGAAAATGTCTGTCATGATAATGCAAGTGTGAACAGAATGTTGGCAATGACTTTAGCAATCAGGTTTGAAATCAGCACTATCCAAATCCTGGTGACGTTTGCAGGCGGCTGCTGGATCTGCTTCACTCACCAGCCCAAAAAACAATGATAATCTTTTTAGTGGATGGTAGATAGTGTAAGATGCACAAGTCCAATTATTCAATGTTTTCCTGTGAGAACTGCACTTGAAAACGGCAAGGTGGTAGAAATGGTTTCGTTTTTGCATCTTTACCTAAGATGTTGTCGAAATGTTATGTTATCTTTTTAATAAATAAGTGACATGAAGGAAGATCTTGGGTAGATAATGAACTGAAATCCCTTAACTAAAATGTAATCAGGTTTGATTGAAATTAAACACTACTACAATGCTTGCACTAATAATTACCAACAAAAATAACTAGGGATGCTCCGATCGCCAATTTTGGGGCCGATCGCCGGAATCAGTATCGGCCGATACCGATCGCCGATCCGATCGAGTGGGCGGGGCCTATGGGGATCTTCCATTTAAAGTGATGTTTAAAACTCAGTTAATGGGGCTCATTCACTGGCGCTTCCACAAACAACAACCAACATAATTATTACATTCAAATGAAGTACATTATTCAAGTTTACATTAACTTTGGATAATAACACAGGAGAAATGAGCAGAAGCGCTCTCTTTTCCTCTCCCCCCTCTCTCTCCCTCTCCTGACAGCCTGTCAGTATCGTCTCATGCAGCTCACTAATCCAGTAATGAGTGACCCGACAGTGAAGAACAAACATATGTATAACTAGTTTAGCTTGTTCCAGAGGTAGATCAAATAGCTAAGAGTGTTAGGTCTAACTCTTGTGTGTTTCGCTCCGCTCACCGGTCCGTCACAGCGGGTGGAGCTGCAGGATTTCTGCTTCACACACACGTTGCATACCGCTATTTTACTGTCTTTTTCGGACACCTTAAAATACTGCCAGACTGGTGAAGCCATTTTGGCGAGCTTGTTTTGCCGCGCACAGAGAAAAGTGTCATGTATTTTACGTCATAATTTTACGATTTTACATTTTTAGAGAGCACCGATCGATCGGCAGAGAGTGAGTATCGGCCGATATCAATCGGCGGCCGATCGATCGGTGCATCCCTAAAAATAACTATATCAATCTACTTATTTATATAAATAATTATCACTGCAACAAACCGTATTTAATTTTGTCTTAATGTACATTATTTAATTTCATATTCTGTTATTGTACATATCATATTCTATTTACATGTATATAGACTTCTTGCAGTATTTGTTATTTTGTATTTTATTATATATGTTGCATTGTTGGAGGAGCTCAGGTCAGAAGAATTTCATTGCCATGTCTACACTGTAGCTTTTGTGCATATGACAATAAAACCTTTGAATCTTGAATCTACTTTTAGTAACCTGTTGTAGTGCAGCCCCAGCAGTGTGACAGTGTACCAGGATGAGGCTCCAGGATAACTACCTTAGCCACTTTGTTGACTTTGTCCTCATTGCCACGTTTGTAAACAAACACGGAAGCAGGCTTTCCATCCTGGAGCATGGCTGAGTACATGGTGAGTCCGGAGGGGAGGGTCAGCAGCGGCTCCTCCAGGACGCAGCCCCGCGCCGCGCTGCTCTCCGCACCCATCGCCAGACCTGGAGGGCAGAGGGGGGGGACAGAGGGACGTTAAACACTCAAGAGGTGGAAGAAGTACTACTCAGATCATATACTTGAGTAAAAGTAGAACTACCAGAGTGTAGGAATACTCTGTTTCAGGTAAAAGCTCTGTATTCAAAGGGTTACTTGTTTTTCATCAATATATTATAGGTCTCAGATATAAACAAAACATGTCTCTGAAGTGTTTGGCTCCAAACAGATCATTGCAGCATCCCATAATCCCCTCTGTTTCAGCCCTGTTTCCAAAGTGCTGATTCTCTGTCTGTTACTTTAGATGAAAATAAGGAGCCACTCCCCACACCCCTCTGAGAGATATTTGGTTAAAAAGAACACAATGGTGCTCTAGGAGGAGATTCAGGTGATAAGCCAAAACATCGTTATAAAGGGGCCAAAATCTGATCAGCTCATTTTCAGACAGGTTTTTATATAAATGGATCAGGACAAAAAGTGAGCAAATCTTTTTTCCTGAAACGTTCAGAATCTTTTTCCACAGAGGGGACACATGGTGATGTAGAAAAAGGTGGATTTGGCATAATAGGTGACCTTTAAGTAAAAGTAGAACAGTATCAGCATCAAAATATCCTTTAAGTACCAAAAGTAAAAGTTCTCATTATGCAGATTGGCCCATTTCAGAATAATATATATGATATGTTTTATAATTATTGATCATTAAAGTGTTATCAAAAGCAGGTAAAGGTGCAGCTAGTTTCAATGACTCTGTATACTGCAGGGTAGCTTGTGGATTTACTCCAGGTAACTAAAGTATTATTAAGTGTTGATTATATTTCCTTTAATAAATCAAAATCTATGTACATAATTGACCTCTGAATTGTAGTAGGGTAGAAGTACACATAAGCAAATTTGACTTTAATAGTAAATGTACTTAGTTACTTCACACCACTGCTCCAGCCCAACGTCACATGTTGTCAGTCGTTAAGCATGCAAATATAAATGCTTATTATAAAGTGACCTCACCTGGTTGCTGTTTATCTGTATGTTCCTCTGTAGGTAGGATAAGTAGAGTTAGCTAATGTTGTCAGTTGACTAGCTGGCTAACCTCAGAGCTACGTTAGCCAGCTCGTCATCGCTATGCGTGTCTGTAACCCTTCCGCCTGCAAACAATCATGCTAATGGAGGCTTAGCGCAAAATTAAGCAAGCGATTTGACAAAATGATCGAACTGTTCGCAAGGAAAAACGCAAAATACGTTGCTGTTTTACTTCTGGACGAACCAACGGTGCTAACGTGGAGAGAAGCTGTAAACACGGACTCTTCCGGTATAGGACGAAACCATGGAGCAGGGGACGAGGTGACTTTAAAATATTTGAGAAACTAGTCACTAAGGCGTATTTGGAAACATATTTTCGGTATATGAAAGACTTATATCACTAAGGAATTAAATATCATAATAACCAGTTTAATTCTACCTTTTAAAATAAAAACAGAACTGTACCAAATCCCCCTCCGCTAAAAGCTAATGGTTGCATCCAAAGTGGTGTGAGATACCGCAGATACGCGTGGATAGTGACTGAAATGGAAATAGTCAGAATAAATCTTAAAGATGAGTCTGTGGTCTGTTTTGTGAACTTGTTGTTGGGGTCACCACCACCAGTATCACACAATCAGGGAGTTCATTATGAATACTGGAATACAAACAAGCTATGTGGAATGACAAGTCAGTTTATTTATGTTTATTTAAGGCCAAATGGGTTAGAATCTGCCTTAAGAAAATACACAATTACACAAATAAAGGGCAACGTAGAGACAAAAACAATAGAGGTATGAACACATATGAAGTTACAGGTGTCAATTCTTCCATGGAGCCATGAACTTCATGATGTGATTAGAGGGGACCTTTTATTAAATTATTATTCTGCTTTAAGTATGATTTATAATTTGTTGTAGTGGTAAATGGGGTTGTGCTACATTTACTGTTAAATTGTTCTTTGTATAGCCAGATCCTATAATGGAAGACTGTAAGTTACATTATAATATTATAAATTATTAAAGCTACCCGGAAATGTTAAAATCTCATACACATAAAGTTGTTGAACAAACAAATTGTATAATAAATACTTAATTAATAATCAGTTGAATAATAGAATAGAATATGCACTGTACTGAGAGAGCACCATATATTCCACCATCTATTTTTATGTTACTATATTGCATTTTTTTCAAATTCTAGGCTCAAGTAAACACTTTAAAATGCCTTTGTGTTAAAACAAATAATATATATACAGATAAATACTTTGCATTACTTACTTAGTGGAGATCATGTCCCCATATATTTATGAACATACGGTCAGTCATATACATGAATATACATATTATACAAAAAACACAATCAATGAATGTAATGGTTGTATAAGACTTAAACACATAAAAAAAACAGAGAAGAAAATGTCAGCTGTTGTCTCAGTTTCAGAAAGGAAACGGCAACATCTGATACTGATCAAGATAAGTCTCACTTCAGAAGAACACAAAATACATTTTAGTCAGAGGAAGTGATGTTTTTTTACCAGATGAGATTCTGAGGCAGTTACCTTAGTAACTAACCAGCAGCACAAATACACACACGTTCACTCTGAAGAAGTGAGAGCAGCAGACGACATGGACGAGCTCGGTAAGGAACTGTCAGTCATTTTTAACGCAACTGATCATCCACAAAATGATCCGTACACAGATTATTAGATATAAATACATTAATATCATTCTAAAACATTGAGTGCTATGATTTACAACTGTATAAAGGAGAAGGAAAATAAATAATTGAACATACAATAAGATGAAAGTGCTTAACAGGATGTATTATGGGGCTACCAAGAACAAAGTACACAATATACTGTACTTCATAAAAGTAGTCCAGATTGTCATTTGAATAACTCTGTGTCTTGGTTCTGTTTTTCACAATGGTTTGTCATAACCATTGTGATATTTATTGTTAAATGTTTAAATATACACATTGGTCTTGCAACATAATCTGCATCTTACTTTAATCGATTCTACTATTTCTTCTTGCACTATTTTGATTTAATAGTTTGTTTTATGTCATATAACTATGTTGCAATGTTGGAGGAGCTTGGGTATTACAATTTGTATTGCCATTTCTACACTGTAGCTACTGTGCATATGACAATAAAGCCTTTGAATCTTGAAATATGATGCTATTTCTTGCCAGGACTATATCTCAAAAAGAGTGTTATTGAGAGATAACGTTTAAAAAACTAAATCAAGGAAAACAGTGGGCTTTACTGATTATCAAAACACACACGTTTTGAAAAGTCTTTCATCTGAAAATAGATTTGACGATGTGCATATTTTGTGGAGACATAGGCGGAATTTTTTTTAAAGACAATAGTACTAAAAGATGAACATTAATACCTTTTTTTAAACTGCTGTGTTGTGTACTTCGCCACACATATCTTCCCACTTTTATTTAAATGTGTGGGTTAACACTGTGTGAAGGAGAGTTGATTTGGGGTTATATTTTTCTACCAGCGTATTGCAACATAATCGAGGTTTCACTTCTGCAACACGTCGTGCATCACTTCCTGAGGAAGCTGACTTGCATGAAGCAACCTCAAAGATATCTGCCGGCACCTTTATCTGTTCATCGATATGCAAGCGGTTCTTTCTTCACATCGTTTTAGTTCATAGTTAACCTGAAAGCTCAATTCATGTGTTTTACTGTTAAAGTATTCTTAAGGATGCTATGAATTTGTTTGGAAGATTTATGGCCTGTATCCTGCCACAGATTTGCTGCTGGAGGAGCTGGCTCTGAACCCAGGGGGTCTGCAGAGTCTCAGTGAGAACAGGAGCAAAGACACAGCTGCTGCAGAGGTGAAGAAAAAGCCACACCAATACAAACTACACTGTATAATAACTATAATTATCACCTTTCTTGGTTGTAGTCAAACCTGTCATTTAATCTCAATCAACTGTACTCTATGATCATTTGTAATATTGGTACTTTAATCACAGATTGACGGTGTCTTTTGGTGTTTTGTCCACAGGTGCCAGCTGCAGTTAATTCAGCATCAACCAAAAAAGGAAAAGTCTGCTCAAATGTTTACAGGTGAAGCTAAGGCTTGTGTAACTCTGAATAGGAAACAGGAAATGACTGAAAATTCATTGCACAGTGTTATAATTACAAGGTCTCTTTTCGACTTGTTTAAAGCCTCTTAATATACATGTACACAGTTATCTTATTTACTTTATATCTGTCTACTTTGAACTAAATTCGAATGCAACACATCTTTTCAACCACAATTTTTGACATATCTCACGCCAGACAGTTCACATATGGCCTCAGATTTCCCATGTGAAAACCTCAAAATGGCTTATGTGTGGAAATTAATTATGTGAATATCATTTGTTGCCCTAGTTCTTAAATCCAACTTTAAATTATTGTAAAATATCACCCCACAATTATTTTACGAAACACAGTTTTCCCTCAATAGGATTTTGTACATTAATCATGGGGTATATGGTGTTCTTTCAGGTACATTTAATAAATAATCTGTTTTATTATGCTCTCTTATTTGCTCCTATGTGGGCTTCAGTGACCTGCCTGCTCCTGTGGCTGCTTCCCCGACCCCCGACTCCCCCACTAAAGAACTGGATGCTATCCTGCAGGACATGCTGGGTCTGGGACAAGAGGTCAGTGCAGCGTCTGCAAAAAGCATATCTCAGAATGAGTGAAATGTGTCATCATTAATCTTTTTTTGGCACATTAAAGGTCACTTATTATGCAAAATCCACTTTTTCATATATTTTATACATCAACATGTGTCCCCTCTGTTTAAAGAGATTGTGAACGTTTCAGGAAGAAAGATTCTCTCTCTTTTTGTCCTGATCCATTTATGAGCTGATCAGATTTTGGCCACTTTATGATGTCATAACGATGTTTTGGCTTGTGTAACCATTAGCCAATCACCAACCAAGGTAACCCCCCCCCCCACCTTATCACCTGAATCTCCTCCTATGCGGCTTTCACACCAGCGCTTTTCCCTTTCTAGCTCCTAGCTAGAGCTTTTCTGGTTCAGCTCCGGTTTCCCTTTTCAGCTCCCGCTCTGTTCACACCGCCCAGAGCTGCCGCTGCTGCGTCATGACGTCACCGTTTACATCGCTGATTTTCTCCCCAACGGAGCTCACAACAACAACAACAACGGGGGGGGGACTGCGTCGGGTCGATGATCGTGTTGCTTTTAATCATACGAAGCCAGATTAAATTAAATAACGACTTCTCCAACCTTATACTTTTCTCCAGAGTGCCGTGGTTCATTGTTTATTAATGTGTTTCAGCGGCATTTACCGACCGCTGCAGTGCTGGCTGCTCTTCAACGGGAGTTTATTCTCCCGTTAGCTCATACGGCTCTAAAGTATTCACTGTCTGACTGTCACACAAGCAGCTGATACATATCCCCAGTTCCCCTTAAGTGAATGTGTGTCAGTCTGAATTGACGCTGTTTGGCATCACAACGCTGTTATGAAAGTTTCTCTGGTATAACATGGGTGATGTTAGCATAGCAACCGAAGCTAAACTGACTATTTGCTAAGCCGTTTTCTACAGGCACATTTTACCGGCGTATTTTTCATTATGATTCTACTTGTGATAGTCGGACATGACAACCTGTGCAGCCCATGTATTGATTCCATCCGATAGCTGCTATAATAACAAACAAAACGTCTGCCTGCTCTCCACAATGATCAATAACAGCGAACGGATGGTCAAAGTATATGGGCTCAGAACAGTCTCATAATACACACATGCACACAGAAGGATTCACACTTGTATTTCATGATCCGCAAAAGGATTCACACTTGTATTTCCGGATCCACACTTGTGTTTTTCAATGCACACACAAATGTGTTCCGTTTCATATACATGTAAATAAAATCCAAATACAGAAAAAAGTTTTACATATGTATTTTTGATCCTCACATATTTGTTTTCCGTTAAATCCCCTGAACCTGCAAACACAAACCGCTTTCTGTGCATGGATCGCTGTGCATTCGTGTGTGGGTTTTTTGAGACTCCCCTGACGGTCACCCGATTCGTACTTGTAATTTTTTCTATCTATAGCCAATCAGATGTCTCCTCAATTCTAAGCCAATCACATGAGCGCGCCCCCACGAGGGTAGATTTCTTGCGTTCATGTCACTTCATATACGCATTTTGCGCTGTCCGGAGCAGGGTTTCCGCGGACAGAATTTAATTTTACCGGACAAATTTGAAACTTACCGGTCATGTTTCAATAATAATAATAATAAGAATTGTGTAGCAGCGTTTCCGTTAGGTAATTACCGGACTATGACCGGATAATAACACGGGAGTAAGGATCATCTCTTTTCCTCTCTCCCTTCCTCTCTCCTGACAGCCCGTCAGTTTCTCATGCAGCTCGCTAAAACTTCACTCGCGTTTATGTCCATATCGATCAGATCCAGCTCTCCTGATCGGCCTTTATAGAGAGCACCGATCAAACTATTAAGACTGAATATCGGCTCCATGGACCTGTCAGCTCCGGACAGCGCAAAATGCGTACATGAAGCGCTACGTCATGAACGCAATAAATCTACCCTCGTGGGGGCGCGCTCATGTGATTGGCTTAGAATTGAGGAGACATCTGATTGGCTATAGATAGAAAAAATTACAAGTACGAATCGGGTCACCGTCAGGGGAGTCTCAAAAAACCCACACACGAATGCACAGCGATCCATGCACAGAAAGCGGTTTGTGTTTGCAGGTGCAGCGGTTTTAAACGGAAAACAAATATGTGAGGATCAAAAATACATATGTAAAACTTTTTTCTGTATTTGGATTTTATTTACATGAATATGAAACGGAACACATTTGTCTGTGCATTGAAAAACACAAGTGTGGATCCGGAAATACAAGTGTGACTCCTTTTGCGGATCATGAAATACAAGTGTGAATCCTTCTGTGTGCATGTGTGTATTATGAGACTGTTCTGAGCCCATAAAAGTAAGGTACAAATAAACAGAACCACACGAAGCCTGGTTAGTATTGCCTGACTTTATAAAGTGTGTTTTTTTTTATAAGTGTGTGGTTGCCTTCTAGTCACTTTGCTCAGCGCTACTGCTTGTAGGCAGGCATGACGAGACTCTTCAGTCGACCCATGTTCAGGGGAGGTGGGTTTAGTTTCCTGCACGCCTCGACGTAAGCGACGCCGCTTCTTGCCTCTTTACCGACAATTTTTTGGAGCTGGAAGTGAACCGCATTCCGGAGCTAGGGCGTGGGGAGTGGCTCCTTATTTTCATCTAAAGTAACAGACAGAGAATCAGACCTATACTATATTGATGAAAAACAGTATAATAGGGGACCTTTAAATAATAATTCAAGCAACACTTTCCTTTATATTCCATATAACACGCTGATAATTATGATAAAACACTAATACACTTTCCAAACATGAGTGAAGTGAACCAGGTCTAACAACAGATGGCAGCATTGTACCAATCTCAGCACTGCCTTAATATAAATGCAATATAGGAGTGTTGATAACTTTATATATACAGTCTATGGTTGATAAGCAATAACTTCAAAACAATACATGTATCAAATGCTAGAAATAATAGACGTGTGTGCTAATTTGTATCATCATTCAGGATCCAGAGTCTTCAACGACCCCACCACCTCTGACACAAAAACTGTCCGTGAGAAAGAAAACTGAATCTGGGCAGCAGGAGAAGAAGAAGAAGGAGAGCAGCAGCAGAGCAGCGTCAGACGCTAACGCTTCGACCTCCAGCAGGAAGACAGAAACAATAGATGAGCTGCTCGGAGGGCTGAGCTCCGACCTGGAGAAGATCGGCGTGCGCACCGTAGCCAAGGGCCACTGTGCGTCCTGCAACAAGAACATTGTGGGAAAGGTACAATAATAAGCATTGTAATCTATGTATTGTTAATTAAAAGAGGCCCTATTCTGCTTTTGGTATTTTCCCTTTCCAGTAGTAAGGTAAGGTAAGGTAAGATACGTTTATTTATATAGCACATTTTCAGACACAGAGGCAACTCAAAGTGCTTTACATCATCATTAAGAAGACAAAAGAAAGGAACACAATACATAAACATAATGGAATAACAGATTCATAAAAACCATGCTTAAAAGAGATACAGATAGTTTAAAAACAAGTGTGTTATTATGTGCTTGTAAATCCCCCCCCAAAAAATCTCCATTGACCAGCTAACCAATCAGATCTGACTGGGCTCTGGTTTCAGACAGAGGGTGAGAAGATGTCCTGCAGTATGAGAAAAATAAAGACCTTTTTGAACATTAAAGCATGTAAACATGTTACAGTAGAGGCACAACGTACAAATATGAACATGCCAATTAACATGATAGGGCTGCTTTAACATAAAGGATGCAATGTCATCCTTACATGCAAATTCTTAATAGTAATTGATTTAAAAAAAACGTATTTTCTTGTGTTCCTTCATTTTATTTACCTTCTGTAGATGATCACGGCGCTGGGTGAAGTGTGGCACCCTGAGCACTTTGTGTGTGTGGCGTGTAACACAGAGCTGAGCACCACAAGCTTCTTTGAGAGGGAGGGGCGGCCGTACTGCGACAAAGATTACCATCAGCTGTTCTCCCCACGCTGCGCCTACTGCAAGGGGCCCATTGTGAAGGTGAGGAAGCTTCATATCCATTTTTTGTTGACCATGACATTTGATTGGATTTGATTAGATTTATTTTGAATGTGTAAAACAATAATACATGAGAATTATTATACAATACAAAATTAAGCAGTGTCAAATTGATATACAACATTTTTACTGATTTTAAATTATGTATAAACAAATGATCTACTCAATTACACATCCGAAAAAAGGTGGGAAGAAGTTTACACTTATTTAATCCCACCTTTTCTCCCAAAAACTAAATTATTAACATATATTTCTTTTTTTCTTAAAGAAATACATTTGTTATTGAAAAACAAACAAACAACAAATAAATAAACAAACAAATACACATTGCAAAAGTGTTTTTTTTAAGATATTCAGAACATATTCAATTTAAATGCCTTTAAATGTTTTCTGATTCTTATTTGTGCTGTCGTATACTACATCAATGTATTATCTCTCGATGATTGGGTGATGACATACAATAGCATGTAGGTCATTTTCCTCGACAAATCCCACATGTCAGCGAAATAAGTAAAACATAAAACCATATTGGGATTCGGCATTCGGGCTTAAGCTGCAGTCTAAAGTCATTCATCAGAAACTAATGCAACTTCTCCAATAATTTGCTTCATGTGGTGCACAATCCACTTTATTGTTACATCCATGTATGAGATGAGACTTACAAATCCTTAAAGGAAGTAAAGCTGTAATATTTCTCCGTCTGGCTGCTTCTCCAGAACATCCTGACAGCTCTGGACCAGACTTGGCACCCCGACCACTTCTTCTGCACACACTGCGGAGGCCTGTTTGGACCCGACGGTGAGACGTTCATTTCTTTCTCACTGGAAACCACAACTTCAGCAAACATTTGGAAATCATTTCAGGCATGTTCGCTCAGAATGAATCTCATGTGCCTCGTACCTGTCGCTAGGTTTCCTAGAAAAGGACGGGAAGCCGTATTGTTGCAAGGACTTCTACAACCTCTTCGCTCCAAAGTGCTCCGGCTGTGGGGAATCAGTGAGGGAAAACTACCTGACTGCAGCCAATGGCACCTGGCATCCAGAGTGCTTCGTCTGCGCAGTGAGCCTCTTACCTCAGACCACACACACATACACACGCACGCACACACACACACACACACACACACACACACACACACACACACACACACACACACCACACACACACACACACACACACACACACACACACACACACACACACACACACACACGCACACGCACTCGCTCACACACACACACACACACAGCTCTGGCTCACACACACGCCTGGGAATGAATGAGAAAGATACCCACACAGTTGCTTTATTTGCAACATTTTGACCACAAGGCTGATGCAAACCGTATGCCTGATGAATACGTTGCGGTTGAAATGATGCAAATAAATCAAGGAAACCATATTCCTCCGTGTGGGTATCTCTTACATTCTCCTCCAACCTACTTCTGTGTGCAGCATCTGGTGGGAAACGGTTCAGCGTGCAGCTTTGAGCAATTGTTGAACATAAAACGCTCTCAGCAGAGATGATCTGACATGAGGTAGCAACTCTTTATGTTTTATGGCCCCTAAAGAAGATCATTCAATGACTGAAAATACAATGACCGTAAACCTGAACATGAAATGTATTGCTCTTAAAGCTTACCAATCAGAATGACATAAATACAACTCAGATTAACGACATTACATTCAGACATAGACATCCAACGATGACTACCATACCCAATTATTACTGTGTCTCACCAGCAGCACAGAAACTAAACATTGTTTTACACGGAGCAGTCATTATCAGTAAGGTCAGGATTTCACCTAACCCTCGATAACCTCCATCTTAACTCCAGAGGTCAGGAGGTCAAACACTCCATATATAGGATGAAGTGGACACTCAAAAAGTGTCCGAGCCTTTTTTTAATTAACCTCCAGCTGAAAATAAACAAGGTGGTTTCAAAACGTAGCACCTCTGGTCTTTTTGGACACTCTCAATATGCTGTGCTACAGCCGGCTCTTGACAACTGCAGAGAGATTTGAATAAAATACCATTTGTTACCTTAAAACCACCCAAATAGGAAGTTCCTCGTGCTCGTCGATAAGCTATCATCGAAACTCCATTTATAATGATCAGAATTAAATGATAAATGCATTAAAACAGCAACAGTATATGCGGGTGGACTTACATATATCATAAAGAAAAGTAGGCACGCGTTATTCATTATAAAAACCCAGTTAGTAAAAACAAATTACAGATAAGAACAACATGGTAAAAAAATAGGTAATTTTTTTTTTTTAGAGTGACCATATAACATATTGAAGTAGCTGGTAATGTTTACAAATTGTTAATACATTAAAATAAAGAAAAATAAAGTGTACATTGCACAAGGGTATATTGCACGAGTGTGTATTTCACAAAGTTCTATATTAACAGGCAGTGTTATGCACATCAGAGAGGTTGTGTGTTATATGAGACATACAACTCTTAAAATGTATAAACATTTTCTAAAATGATCAAACATGTCTTCAGTTGTACCTGCACCCAGCTATAGAAACACTGACATTTCTCACATTGGATTTGCGTTTGGATTTGTTAAAAACAGGTGTTACTAAAGTCATTAATGATGAATTCAGGTGTTTCTGTGCCAGAGCTGGTGTTGTGCATTCTGGCTCTCTCTCGTGGCTTGCTTTCAGGTGTAAATAGAACAGAGCCAAGGCTAATGTGAAGAGTTACACCTGTGCTTTTACTGCTATGACATGTCAAACTGTCTGCCAAGAGAAACCATATGCATCATCCCCCCTGTACAGACACATTTAGTTTATGTTGTAAGTAAGGGTAAATAATGACCCGACAAATTGTACCTTCCACGACTCTAATGGATGAGCTGGAGACACACCAGCCACATTAAATCATATAACAGTGTTTAGCCTCTTTAGATGCATGGCTGTTGCATTAAATACTCATAATGTTCCCTTCGGCCTCAGTAAAGTGTGTTCAGTGGTAATGATCACAATTTTACATGTGGATAAATGTAACCTGCTAAACATTAACATGCTAGTATTATATCTGTAAGTATTGATGGATTATGAACAGAAACATCTGTAACACTGTTTTAATTTCTCTTCATTACTTATTGAAGATGCATGTCAGTGATTTTGCTGAGCATGTAGCCGTACTTTACGTTACTGATGACCATTTTACAAAGCATGCCGTATAGATTAGGATCAGAAGTATCTTCATTTGTTTTGAATTCATTTCACCAGACTGTAAAAATGACAGAGGACTGACAGATACTTACGATGGAGTTAATCCATCACATGAAGATTAACTTCACATGTGTAGAAGTGACATTATAATTGCATGATTGTACAATTGTGAGCAGGGTCTAATCAAAATGAATTACATTCAAAGCTTCCCTTATTAGTCAACCAAGGAAAACGCAGTTATTCATCACACCGGCGGCCAAGAAGCAGGCCGTGAACGCACGAAGCTATAAACATAACATTATCATTATTTTAATGACATCCTTGTTCTTCGATGTTCTCAATGTATGTTTAGCAGGCTAGCTTGGGAATGCTATATCTGCAGCCGTTGAGAACAAATCTAAGGTCATTTAGCATTCCACTCATCGTGCTTGCCTTTTTAGGGGCCCTATAATGCTTTCTGGTTCATATTTTAATGTAGTGTCTCTACTGGGACATGTCTCCATGCTTTAATGTTCAAAAAGCTCTTTATTGTACTCATACTGCCTGTGCTGCAGCACCTCTTTTCACCCTCTGTCTGAAACCAGAGCCCTGTCTGCTCTGATTGGTTATCTGGCCGGCTCTGTGGTGATTGGTCAACCGCTTAGAGATGTCCAACCCCTTAGCCTATCACCTACAATGTGTTGAAGCGCTGGCCAATAGAAGCGTTAGATTTACATAGTGATGTCATTATGTGCCTGAAGTAAATAAAGGAGTCCAAGGGCGACGTTTTAACGGGTTAATTATCCAGACACTATAATTAAAAATCTGTCTCTCTTTATCCTCCACATCTCTTCCTAACGTCTCTCCTCTGCTCTTGTACCCAGGACTGTCTGAAGCCCTTCACTGACGGCTGCTTCATGGAGCTGAACGGCCGCCCCCTCTGCTCGCAGCACTTCCACTCCCGACAGGGCACGCTGTGCGGGAGCTGCGGGGAGCCCATCACGGGCCGCTGCATCTCCGCTCTGGAGCGCAAGTTCCACCCGGAGCACTTTGTGTGCGCCTTCTGTCTGCGGCAGCTCAGCCAAGGCATCTTCAAGGAGCAGCAAGGGAAGCCATACTGCTTGACTTGCTTCGACAAACTCTTTGTGTGAGCACGACATGAACAAATAACGCAACAGAAATCTATCAGAGGCCTCACTGTGATTGTTGAGATTGAAATGTCCCTATAGTATGAGTGATACATTAAAGGGGACCTATCATGCAAAATGCACTTTTGTACGTCTTTTATATACGTGTCCCCGGTGTTCCAGGGAACTCACCAAGTGTCAGAAAACACAACCCTCTCTATTTTCCTCCATACCCAAATCTCTAAAAAAGGGGCTGCAACGGATCTGATCAAAACTGATCCAGATTTGAACACGACATGAACAAAAAACGCAACAGAAATCAATCAAAGGCCTCACTGTGATTGTTGAGATTTAAATGTCCCTATAGTATGAGTGATACATTAAATAAGGCAACTATATCATACATTAGAATGGGTGTATTTGCATTTGTACAGAGCAATACAAGTTTAATTTCTTCAGTACTTCAATGCCAGGGGAGGACATTTCAATGAATTATACATTAAGAGTCTTTAACATGACATGTGTCGTAAATTATTAACAGATAATGTAAAAATATCCAGGACAAAATGCTCACATTGTAACATAATTAATGATATGTTGTAAAACATGGGGAAAAACCCATTTCCGATGATAAAAACATTTTTCATATGTGAACTTTGGATGGGTCTATAAGGTGTGTTGCTGACATTTTTTATAGGATTTCATACATCATGATCACATGAAATGTATAAATGGAGAAAGAAAAACACAGACGTGCCCTTTTAATCTGTGGTTTCCATTAAGGGATGCTCAGGTTTGCCATAAGCCTTGGCAGTGAAGAGATGCTCTGGCAGTCTGCAGCCGTTTGTCAAGGGTTTGGACTATGTGGCCTGATAGCTTGTATTGGCAGAGGCTGGCATCGAACCGTCGTGCCAACCCCAGTTTCCTTTTACTCTGATGTACCAACCTCTTCAATCTCCACACAGGCTCCTTTATAGACTGCATGGAAGATTAATGAAGGTGGTAAGGGGAACAAAGGTGGTTTCAGAAGGAGTTCACATCACTGCATCTCTTCAGTGATTTTATTTAAATGTCGAAGGATGAATCAGCCACAAAGTACATTTATTTTTGGTGACGCACGTTGCATGTCTGGCCCTATTTTAACTAATTAAAGCTCAAAGAAAAGTTTGGATGCAAGTCAGGGCAAGATATCTGCAGCACAGTTAGGATGATATGTTGTTGTTTAAAAGTGGGATTCTGTCTGCAGAATCACATCATAATAAAATCAATGTTTTGCACAAATACCAACTTTTCTGAACTTTTTGAGAAGAGGGGGGGAGGCGGTTATTCTGCCACCTATTGTATTACATATTGAATTGAGTAAGAGTTAGTCATTATAAGAACTTTTTTACATTTATTCTCCTGTTTTTGCCTGTCTTATGTGATTTTGCACAAGATACATTTGTAACCTCTGATGTCTGCATGTCCCTCAGACAAACTATGAAAGACGATGCTAAAAAAAGTCAAAAATGAAATGACTATCAGGAAATTTAACAAATCTGCAACTGATTTTAACACAAAACTAAAAACAGGAACCAATTGAAGCTCAGGAATCAATCATTAAAGGTCCCCTATTATACTGTTTTTCATCAATATATTATAGGTCTCAGATATATCTAAAACATGTCTCTGAAGTGTTTGGCTCCAAACACCAAACAGATCATTGCAGCATTACCCATAATCCCCTCTGTTTCAGCCCTGTTTCAAAAGTGCTGATTCTCTGTCTGTTACTTTAGATGAAAATAAGGAGCCCCTCCCCACGCCCCTCTGAGAGATATTTGGTTAAAAAGAACACAATGGTGCTCTAGGAGGAGATTCAGGTGATAAGGTGGGGGGGGGGGGGTTACCTTGGTTGGTGATTGGCTAATGGTTACACAAGCCAAAAAATCGTTATGACATCACAAAGTGGCCAAAATCTGATCAGCTCATTTTCAGACAGGTTTTTATATAAATGGATCAGGACAAAAAGAGAGAGAATCTTTTTTCCTGAAACTTTCAGAGTCTCTTTACACAGAGGGGACACATGTTGATGTAGAAGAGTGGATTTTGCATGATAGGTTCCCTTTAAAGGTATGGTATAGAAAATAAAATGAAGTAGTAAATAAGCTGATTGAGAGGAATGTCTGTATCCCAGAGAAGTTCATTAAACCACTTTATAAGTATACATTACAGGCCTATAAAGCAGGTTTTGTAAAGCATTGATCATCACAGAAACAGCCTTGAAGTTAGCCAAACCTCTGTATAAATCTAAACTGAATCTTCATGCTAATGTCAAACTGTATCTCATCAAACAGCGTCTTATCTCCAGATGAACACAGTCTACTTTCTGTCGGCGCAGCAGGACGTTTTCTTCAGCTTTTCTTCAACCCACTTTGACTCTCTGTGTGAAGTTAGTGTGTGAGTGGGAATGGAGGCGGGCATTAATCATGCTGTCATCACCGTCAACGCGGCCTCTCGCGGCCTCCACAGAATACAGACCTTGCATCATGGAAGGATTGTGTGTATATCGCGTTCAGTCAGAATCCAAGATCGTAAGTGTTTAATGATCTAATGGCCCGGTTCCCAGACTCCTCCTGCGCTCAAAGACATAGTGTAATGTTAAATGTGTTAAAACATGCCTTAGAGATTTGCATGAACCATATGTTAGAACAACATCAACTTGGGTCTGATCAGAGATTTTGGCATCTGACACATTTGTAATATGTCGCATTTTCCAAGTTACTGAGGGGTGATTATGTTCATCCTAGTATTTAAAAAATGTCTTTCTGCACCACCAATCACTGTCACAACTTCATGGTATTATGAGTTCAATCAGGAGAGACGGTTTTGATGTAAGAATACATATTTATTGCCAGGAATACACAAATGAATGTAGTGGAGTTTTGGCGATTAGGCCCCGTTGTGCAGGAGTATCATTCGGGAGGGGAGAACCGATCCGATGAAACCCCCCGGGGTCTAGACACTGGTGGTGGTGAATGGATAGTTGGGGTCGGTCTGAAGAGGAGTGGCTTGGTTTGACCCTGGATTCAGAGGAACAGGAGGTGCAAAGGGGTGGAGGAGGGTTGCGTCGAGTCACCTGAAATGACAGCTGTCGGAGGGGAGAGCAGATTTAAAAGGTTTAGCGGAGCGCTATGATAGGCTTGTGAGAATAGAGCGAAGTGATTGGTTAAGCTGGAGAGTGACGCCCCCGATCACTTATTGAGAGGAGAGAGAGTAGTAACATGGACATAGTAAATGAATGAGTAAAGAAGGTCTTCCTGGTTGAACTTGCGCTGAGCTTCAGTAGATTTAACAACACTGTCTTATAACCAGCAAGTATTGCCTTGCAACATCAAAAAGCTGAAAACTATAGGTTACATTTAGATTAGCTTAAAACCGTAGATGAAAAATCACCTAAATGAATAGATGTATTGACTTAAATCAGAAAACTCTTAAGCTTTGCAAAGTCTAGCGTCTAGAAAGATATTAAACAAAAATATGATGCAGTGAAAGAAGTGTATGCCCAAACAGTACATACAGTAGGCTACATCATTTTGCATGTCAAACATTTTTTAAATGTCACATTATCAAAATAATAGAGGTTTATGTTCATCCTAATATTGAAAATGTTTCTTTCTGAAGCATTTACTTTCACAAATGCATGGTATTATGAGAAGACGTGGCAACAATGACTTATAAATAGTAAGTTGTGTTTAAAGCATTTTACTAAAAACTGTAAACTAGCGGTTTACTTCAATTTAGATAAGCTCAAGACCTCTGTTGCCCATATGTGAACACTCTAATGATCAAGTGTATCTTGAATAAAGACAACTCCAAAGCTGCTGCTTAGAAATGTGGAAAGAAATTATGGCATTGACAGAAAATATATGCATGTTATCATATGGCTGAGCGTATAGGGAGGAAAAGGGCTCTCTGACACGTAGTAAAAATGAGAAAACATGAAATGTGAGCGGGGGTCTTTTTTAAAGGGGTTGCGAATAAAGGGCCGTCTGTAGAAAGCCGAGAGAGTGTAACTCAGGTGACATTTACTGCAGTGAAACAGAGACTGGGAGCGCAGTGGGCCATGGGATGGTAGCGAGACCTCCACGGGGAGGGGGGGGGGGGAGGGAGGAAGGCATATATTGGGACATAATGGATACTGGTGATGGGGGACACAGGGTGAGGAGGGCAGGGGTTGAAGAGTGTAGATGCAGGAGTTACCCCTGAGTGACACTGAAACCAAACACTTACCTCTTCTCTTGTAAAATGGCCGTGTCCCCTCGGCCACCTCTGATAGGACGATGGAGCCGCTCCACACTCTGCTGCCTGTAAACCCAGCAGTTCATCAGCTTTCAACCAGTAACTGTCAGATAGGTTTTAGGTACAGACTCTCTCATTAATCAGAACATTTACTTTTAGATACAGATCTATGGAAACGCCAGCTGGAGACGACTCCTGCTGCAAATCAGTCCTGACAATGTGGAATCACAGCCCCCGTAGGAGCAGTGAAACATGAAGGGATCAGATTACTGTTACATCATTATGCATATCCATGTATGAGCTGATGCACTTAACAGGTCACTGCATGTGAGGAATATTACTCTGACGTTAACATGGTGCTTTATGGGGAAACTATTGGCTTCTGATTTGGAACAACAATATTTATCGCACTGACAGGATTTGTTCGAATAAAAAGAAAAATGGATATGCTTATAATTTTTTAGCTATGTATGTTGGAAAATCTTATTAGGTCATTTAACAAAACTTTTGGAATAGATGCCAATTAACTTCAGAGAGCACTATTTGCTTCCAGTGCAAAAATATTTCACAAAAAGTGTGCAAGGAACTAGTGTCTCTTCAATTTCACAAGATGCATCATAGTTTCTTTGCTCAAACAAAGATGGCAGCCGGATGAGTTATGTAATTCATGTAATTAAAAAGAAAATAGGAAAATAAATTCATGCATTTTACCAAGATGGTTACCCCTACTCCCAGCCCTGAGCTCACATTATACAGTGCATGCATTTGTAATTTTTGCGGTGTTACGTATTGAGAGCAGTTTTTTAATGAGTGCAACCAGAATGTTAACAAATAGTAAAAGTTAGATGAATTGTATATATTAGTAGAAATATTTATTTGTGTTAATTCTTGTAGAAGAAACTGCCAGAAATTGTGTTTTCTTTTAGACTTCACAAGTTCTTTTTGTCAATTGTAAAAAACTTTCCAAGTTGGATTAACAAAAAGCTAGCAGACGGTGTGTTTTTTTAGGCTATGGTGCCCGTAAACTGAGGTATAAACATTATTATGTAATCCCGGCACAATCACCTGTCACCTTCAGTAGTTACTGTATCTTTGTATGTATTGTAACTTTTTGAGGAGGACTTCAAAAACACGGTCAGGTCAAAGTCATGCCTTCATTTAACAGCTGTTATTGCTTAAAGTAGACAGGTGGAAAATTATTAATTCCAACTTATTTGCTGAAGATTTTAGCACCTTCTTTACTTTGCAAGAAACTGTCATCTCTCATCATGAGGCTGAGCAGCAGTGGGCTGGCAGAGGTGAGACCTTGAGGTTATTGCAACTTAAACGACCGTAAAATCAAAACATTATGTGTCTGAACTGGAAAGAGTCGGTGTGTCCGTCGTTATCGGCCAAACAGGGACATGCTAATTCCACTGCTCCACACAGGTGAGCCTACAGAGCCTGCAGAGGATAAAGTCTCCTCTGAAATAGAGTGTGTCTGTGTGAGAGTTTAAACGAATGTGTGAAAGGAAAAGTGACAACTTCAACACCTCAGTAATTACTTCCACACAGAGAGAAGTTGAGCCGAGCTCCACTTCAGGGTGTGTTTGTTTTGGCGTTCTGCTGATGCTGGGCGCTGGTATCACACCTGATTCATGACTGGCTGCTTTGTCCAGGAGGAACTTCTTGTTGTCGTTGGCCGAACACCGAGTGCTCCTTGCTATCTCACACACAAGCACACATATGCACAAACCCAGAAAACTTGTAAACAGTATTTGTGGATATTCATGCTTTTTATGCTCTCTTGGGGTTTGGTCTACACATGCACAGACGCACACAAAAACAAGTAAACACAAATAGCTTCAGCCAACCCTTCCAAACCAATACACGCACACAAATCAATTCAAGCACGGTATTTAAGGGTTTAGTATCACGCACACACACAGATGCAAAACATATGCACACATATGAAAACATAAAAATGATTTTGATGAGTTTGGTCTCCCTTTCCATCTCTCTCACA